ATTTTTGCCCTACTTTATTATCATTAATAAATTGTAATTTAATGTAAATATTGCAAATAAAATATTTGAAGCAATGCAGATAAATAAACTGCTATATAATGCTTAGAATTGTTTCCCAGATTTTGTTTAATTAGTTATGAAAAGTTGAAACTAGCCGCAACCGGTTTGGCTCAGTGGATAGAGCGTTGGCCTGTGGACTGAAAGATCCTGGGTTCGATTCCGGTCAAGGGCATGTACCTTGGTTGCGGCAACATTTCCAGTGGGGGGTGTGCAAGAGGCAGCTGGTCGATGTTTCTCTTTCATCCATGTTTCTAACTCTCTATCCCTCTCAATTCCTCTCTGTAAAAAATCAATTAAATATATATATATTTTTTAAAAGTTGAAACTAGCCGAAACCCGTTTGGCTCAGTGGTAGAGCGTCGGTCTGCGGACTGAAAGGTCCCAGGTTCGATTCCGGTCAAGGACATGTACCTGGGTTGTGGGCACATCCCCAGTAGGGTGTGCAGGAGGCAGCTGGTCGATGCATCTTTCTCATCGATGTTTCTAGCTCCCTATCTCTCTCCCTTCCTCTCTGTAAAAAATCAATAAAATATATTTAAAAAAAAAAAAAGTTGAAACTAGATTAGGTTTTTGAATATTCCGCTAAAATCACACTGTTTAAGAGTTGGTAGAAGAATTAGGAAACATTGCTCTTTATAGGTCCATATTACCCTGCTTTATGGTTTGGAAAGAAATACAATTCCGTTTGCATTTTTTATTATTATTATTATTATTATTATTATTATTATTTTGAAAGAGAAAAGGGAGCCGAAACCGGTTTGGCTCAATGGATAGAGCGTCAGCTTGGGGACTGAAAGGTCCCGGTTTCGATTCTGGTCAAGGGCATGTACCTTGGTTGTGGGCATATCCCCAGTAGGGGGTGTGCAAGAAGCAGCTGATCGGTGACTCTCTTTCATCGATGTTTCTAACTCTCTATCCCTCTCTCTTCCTCTCTGTACAAAATCAATTAAAAAATATATATATATATATATAGAAAGAGAAAGGGAGAGAGAGAGAGAAAGAACCATTGATGTGAGAGAGAAATATGCACCCTCACTGGGATTAAACCTGCAACCGGTATTCACTTTTATGCATGGGACGATGCCCAATTAACTAAGCCACACCAGCCAGGGCATAAGCACTAAAGTTTTAAACTTAATTCCAACAGTTCTCCTGGGCTTCAGTCTTTCTTATAAGTAATTTTTTCCTGGAGAAAGTTATTCTCTCTGAGCCTTGGTCCTATTCTATAGAAAGAAGTTCAGAAAGACCTTTCTAGTGTTGAATTTTTCAGAGAGAATGTGCTGTATTTCCATTGAATTTTTGTATCTTCTTGAAGGATTTGTAGAGAGCACATTGGGTGAGTGAGGTGTGGGCGGCCCATTTAGAAACATCTTTCTGAAGGAAGGGTTTGGTAACGCAGCAGTGGTACCTCTCAGCACAAGCATTCTACTTACTTTTAAAATGCTATCTAATATTAAGTGCTTTAGTATAATATATCTCTTCTACTCAGTAATTTAGTACTTAACAAAGTAATAATAGTAATCAAGGGAGGTGACTATTTCTAAATGTATAAGCCTCAGAATTTGCAAATATTGCTATAAATTTCCTTTGGCTGTGGCCTTCATATAACAATTTGCATTTCCCCTCCTATCTTACACAATTCTTTGGAATAGTGTAATATATTGATAATGTTTTACAACCACTTAGCAGCTTGGCTTGGTGTGGCTTGACAATAAGGGTGAGGGATGGGAGAGTAAGTGGAATAAACCTATACTCTATAGCTGCCTTGGCCCTTCCAAGTTTATTTTCAATTTCTTATTGAGGTGTCAGTTTTTGAACACCTTATATTTGCACCTCTCTGCTCACTTATAAAACTTTTTAGAGCAGCGGTCACCAACTGTTGGTCGATGGACCACTGGTGGCCCACGAGATCCAAAAGGTTGGCGACTGCTGTTTTAGAGCACTCTCTTCCTCCCCTTCCCCCATTGTTTCTGAGAGTTTTCTTCTTCAGTAAGGGAACAAAAGGAAGAAGAGAAAGATCAGAAGAAGAGAAATACAGGCTTTTAAAACATATATATACAGCTGATTCTCATTTTTCACAGTGGTTATGTTCTGTAAAAGCGGATTTCATCTCATGGCACGTATAAACTATTTGCTAAAATTCTGTGGCACGCCAAAAATACTTTTTTTGCCAATCTGATATAATTTTCATTCATTCATACAGGATGGCTATTGTGTTGGCTGTTATCATTTTTTTTATTTGACAATCTAAGGAAAAAGAGATGAATGCCCCTGTTTAAATAATCAGGTATTGCTTGTTTTTTTGTTTTTGTTAATCCTCACCTGAGGATGTTTTTTCTATTGCCCTTTTTTTTTTCTTTTTCCAGAGAGAAAGGGAGGAGGAGAGAGAGAGAGAAAGAGGAACATCGATGTGAGAGAGACACATGCCTCCAGCATGCACCCTGATTGGGGGTACATGCCCTTGACTGGCAATCAAACCCGCAACTCTTGCACAGGCTGACACTAATTGCTGAGTGTCAGAGCACGTATTGCATGTTTTAAAAATTCTTGAGCACACCAGTTGAAAATCGCTGTTCTATAAAGTTGCTATGAACACTGAATTAGTGAATACTAAACCATTGCTCCTACGGGAAACATCAAGATTAGGTTCCTGTGAGCCTTTAGTCACAAGCTTTTCATCAACTGATAAATTCATAACCTTGTTTTATGTGCATTTCTGTTTAGAGACATTCAATATATGGTTGATTCAGTAACATTAAATGCATGGCAAACAGCACTATAACTCACCTGGACAAAACAAAGCTACAAAAATTTGTATATCCTCCGTAGGTCCATCACAGACTTTGTGCACTAAGGAACACCAGCAAGCACTCCATTGTTACACTTGGGGGCCATTTTACACAGTAAAAATCACTCCACCAGAAGCACAAAAATGTGAAGAATGTGGCACTCCATAGACTGTGAAAAGGACACTTATTCACAGTATGAGAGCTGAAACATGGCCTAGTGTTGCCTTGTTTGATTTCAGTTGGAATGTGCATGTTTGGTGACTCATTTTTTTTGCAGCTTTGCACATATCCAAGAATGACCCTGAAAGTGAACAGCAGGTATTGATTTTGGAGTTAATAAATCTTAGCTAATAGGCAAATTTTGCCATTAGCAAGGATCAACTCTACTTGTCTTTTTAATTAAACCACAGAAAACTTTGTATATTTTATTAAGTTTTGAAAACAAAAGAGATCACTTCTATTTCTGAACTTGATATGGATGGATAGATAGATAGATAAATATAAAGGCATATGTTAGAGGAGATTAGAATAAAATGGCATTGTTACCCACTGTTTTCAATTTTAGGCTTAAGGCAAGAATTGAGCAGTTTGTGAATTTCAAATTATCTGAGACTTTTATTAAAATCTTAAGCAACTCAATTTGTTAAGACTACTTTCAATTTCTAAAAAACCTATCTTTGGGGAAGGAGCTGTTGACATAGATATTTTACTCCTTTTTTTAAAAATATTCTTTTTATTGACTAACTGGTTTGGTTCAGTGGATAGAGCATCGGCCTGTGGACTGAATGGTCCTGGGTTCGATTCCAGACAAGGGCATGTACCTTGGTTGCAGGCACATCCACAGTAGGTGTGCAAGAGGCAGCTGATCAATGTTTCTCTCTCATCGATGTTTCTAGCTCTCTTCCCTCTCCCTTTCTCTCTGTTAAAAATAGATATATTTTTAAAATTTTTTAATTGATTTCAGAAAGAGGGATAGAAATATCCTATATAATAAAAGGGTAATATGCAAATAGATCGAGTGGCAGAACACCTGAATAACCTATCAAAGTATAATATGCTAATGATATGCTAAAGCTGCTCAACCACTAACTATGCCGTGCACTGACCACCATGGGGAGGTCCCTCAGCCTGGCCTGCACATTCTTGCAATCCGGGACTCCTTGGGGAATGTCGGAGAGCCTGTTTCAGCCCAATCCCACAGACCACTCCCCTTGGGAAGGCACCAGACTCAGGGTTCATGGCTAGTTTGCGCTGCTATTGCAGCATGAGCCCTGGCAGGCACAGTGGGGGCCAGGCTGAGCAGAAGCGTCAGGTAGAAGCTGCAGGCAGCATTGGATGCGGGTTTTGGCCCGATCCCTGCAGGCCACCGAGAGGTATCCCACCTATGCACGAATTCATACACCAGGCCTCTAGTCAATGATAAGAGATAGTCATTGATTGGCTGCCTTCTGCACGCTTCACATGGGAATCGAGCCTGCAACCTGGGCATGTGCCCTGACCGGGAATTGAACCGTGACCGCCTGTTTCATATGTCAATGCTCAATCACTGAGCCACACTGGCCAGTCTCCTATGCACTTTTTAAATTGCTAATTCTTTTTGTTTTTAATATATTTTATTGATTTTTTTACAGAGAGTAAGGGAGAGGGATAGAGAGCTAGAAACATCAATGAGAGAGAAACATCTATCTCCCTCCTGCACACCCCCCCAAAGGGGATATACCCACAACCTAGGTACATGCCCCTGACCGGAATTGAACCTGGGACCCTTGAGTCTGCAGGCCGACACTCTATCCAAAACGGTTTTGGCTAAATTGCTAATTCTTGCCTTACTTGTTTTAGTAGGTTTTAGTTTTACTGTATCTATATATTTTGTTGCAAGCTGCCTGAAATTCTTTTTAGGAAGTAGGTAAAGTATATATAAATACATTGATTAATAAAAATAATTTCATATAACTTTTCTTTATGTTGGGGATGTCTATAGACACATCTTCTAAAATAAAAGGTAGAATCTCCAATTTAGAACCATTATGTTATTGTAGGAGAAGTTTTATTCTGACTGGCCTTTCTTTATACTTGTAACAAAATATAAATAGAAAAACTTTTTAATTTTGAAATTATTCTTCTATCTAATATTTTGCATTGGTTCCATAGGCTTTGTAGCTGAGCAGTTTCTAAATAACACAGCCACTCAACTGACATACCATGGATTATGTGAACTAACTTCAACGGTCCAGGAAGGAGAACTTTGTGTGTTTTTTCGGAATAATCATTTTAGCACCATGACCAAATACAAGGTATGATATAGAAATAACTTTGTTATTTGAAATTAAAGGAACTTGATTTAGAAATGTCTCATCTGCTTCAAAATAAAAAATTAACATAATATTCCTTAATCATCAAATTATGAATGTAATTATTAAATACCTTTTTTTAGGATAGAATGGACTAGCTACTTAATTGTTACGTCAGAGGCATCTGAGACATTGCTTCAAGTGGAAATGTTGGGGAAAATGGTTCAAAACTGGAATAATTTTTGTGTACAAATAGTACTTTTGGCATAGGAGGAGATTTACAAGAAAAATATGCATGAGGCTAAAAGAGGGGGCCTTGGACAGATTTGAGGAGTGCCAACATTTCATGATTAGCTGGAGGAGTATGAACTAGCAAAGGAGACTAAGAAAGAAAAGAATAAAAGGGAAATCTAAAGAATATAACATCCTGTAAGCCAGTGTTTCCCAAAGTGTGGTATGCGTACCCCCAGGGGAATGGGAAGAGTTTGGTGGGGGTACGCTTTGCACCGGAGTTTAGTGGGGATATGCACTGCACTGTGCTTAGCTGTGCCTAATTCTACGTTCTCATGAGTATGAGGAGTACTCAGCGTTACGAAAATTATAGAAGGGGTACACATATGTCAAAAGTTTGGGAAACATTGATAAGCCAACAGGGAGATAGTGTATCAAGAAAAATTGAGATCTCAGTTATTAAATGCTGGTGGGAGAATACTGGAGAAGAGTCCATTAGTGATATGGATTTCATTGGTATCTTAGAGAATGTTGGCAGCAGGAAAAACTCTATTTGAATTGGTTAATAAGTGCTTGGGATGTCAGGAACAAGAAACAGATAAAGTACCTCTTTGAAACAGTTCAGAAAGGGGCAGAGACATAATGGCTTATAGCTGTATTGGAATCCAGAAAGTGTTTTTTATTTTTTAATATGAGAGTCTTAATCATGTCTAAATATGAAGAAATCAGTAGAGAAAAGAATTCAGGAGAGAGGTATTTGATGTTAGGAGGCTCCTAAGAGAGTGCAAAAGGTTAGAAATGTTCGCAGGTGAAGGAGATTGGCCCTTATTTTAAAAAACACCTCTTCAGCTGCAACCAGTTTGGCTCAATGGATAGAGCGTCGGTCTGCAGACTGAAGGGTCCCAGGTTTGATTTCGGTCAAGGGCATGTACATTGGTTGTGGGCATATCCCCGGTAGGGGGTGTGCAGGAGGCAGTTGGTCAATGTTTCTCTCTCATCGATGTTTCTAGCTCTCTATCCTTCTCCCTTTCCACTCTGTAAAAAATCAATAAAATATATATATATTTTTAAAAAGACCCTAGCTGGTTTGGCTCAGTAGCTAGAGTGTCAGCGTGCACACTGGAGAGTCCTGGGTTCAATTCCAGTCAAGGGCACATGCTCAATCCCCAGTGTGGGGTGTGCAGGAAGCAACAGATCAATGATAATCTCTCATCATTGATGTTTCTATCTATATCTCGCTCTCCCTTTCTCTCTGAAGTCAATCAAAAAAACTTCTTCATTGTAAAGGAGGGAAAAAATAGAGTATAGCTACAGGGAGACTTACAAATTTGATGGTAGGAAGCAGAGGAAGTTACTTTGAATGCTTTTGTTTGTTATGTGGAAGGCAAGATCATTTACTGAGACTGAGTAGGACTCGGTTTGGTTTCATAGAAGGAAAGTTTGAAGCAGTCTTTATAGCTTGTAGGAGAAAGCTGTAACTAGAGAAATTAAGAAGAATCACCAAACATTGTTGGGATTCCAGAATATGGTAATTATTACTTGTGTAATTTTTTTTTGCAGGAGTATCTGCCAGAATACATTCATGGAGAAGGTGGCTAGTTTGTTATTCTAGATTTGGGACTTTGTAAGTGGGTGCAACAAAGAGTAGAAAAGCAAAGAAGTTCAAGGACATGAAGCTATTATGAACACGCTGATATTGGCCAAATTTATAAATATTGTTTAGAGCAAATAAAATACTATTCTTCACTAAGGTGATCTTTTTATATAGAAGGGATAAGTGGGAACAACTATCCTGGTGGCCAGTTGCTTACTGGGAAATGCCATTGCTTATTATATTGACACCAAGCTGAAATAGTAACTCTGTTTTTTGAAGGATTTTTTTTACTTTTTATTATGAAAAATTGCAAATTTATAGAAAAGTAACAAGACTAATTTAATGTGTTCCTATTATACTCATCTTTTTTTTTTTTTTTTTAACAATTTGACATACTATTTTCATCTTTTTGCTTATATTTCAATATACATCTCTAAACAAGAACATTTTCGCTAAGACCGGTTTGGTTCAGTGGATAGAGCGTCGGCCTGCGGACTGAAAGGTCCTGGGTTCAATTCCGGTCAAGGGCATGTACCTTGGTTGCGGGCACATCCCCAGTAGGGGGTGTGCAAGAGGCAGCTGATTGATGTCTCTCACTCGTTGATATTTCTAACTCTTTGTCTCTCTCTCTCTCTTCCTCTCTGTAAGTAAACAATAAAATATATATATTAAAAAAAAGAACATTCTCCATTCAAATAAATCATAGTTAATTTTGTTGCATCTAACAAAATTAACTATAATTTTGAATATAATCTAATACCCAGTCCATATTCAGATTTCCCATTTGTCCCCATGTAGTTTTATTGTTCAAACCAGGCTCTAATCAAGAACCATTTGGTCAATTAACCCCATTTTAATATTATGTAAATCTTGTATTTTCCAGGGATCTATTTATTTATGCCCCATTATAATCTTCTCCATCTTATTTCCTACATTCCTATTGGACCTGGAGTGGGGCAAGAACCTGGTAGAAGGGAGTTTGGGGGGGCCTAAGGGGAAAATCTATAATACTCTAAAAAATATAGTTTACAAAAAAAGGAACTGCCAAAACGGGTTTGGCTCAGTGGATAGAGTGTCGGCCTGCGGACTGAATGGTCCCAGGTTCAATTCTGGTCAGGGGCATATGCCATGGTTGCGGGCACATCCCCAATAGGGGGTGTGCGGGTGTGGGGGGGCAGCTGGTTGATGTTTCTCTCTCATCTATGTTTCTGGCTCTCTGTCCCTCTCCCTTCCTCTCTGTGGAAAATCAATAAAATATATATATTAAAAAAAAAAGGAACTATCGATATAATTTCAATTCTAATGGTCTTTAAATAAGATACTGCTTTACTTCTGGCAGAGTACCCAGTGAATACGTTGTTGAGAAGAGTCAGAGACACTTTGCCTCATCATTGATCTAGGGACTAATTAACTGGATTTACAATAAAATCTATACTTCTTTGGCTGTTGCTGTAGAACTAGAAGCCCTAAAGGAATACTTAATAAAATTTAGGAAGGGGTTTCTTCAAAATGGTATCAAGCCCTAGCTGGTTTGGCTCAGTGGATACAGTGTTGGCCTGCAGTTTGATTCCAGTCAAGGGTACATGCCTGGGTTGCAGGCTCAATCCCCAGTATGGAGCATACAGGAGGCAGCCTATCAGTGATTCTCTCTCATTGATGTTTCTCTCCCTATCTCTTCCTCTCTGAAATAAAAAAATATATATTTTAAAAAATAAAAACAAAATGGTATTCATTTGCTGACTAAGGAAATACAATGGAAAATTGTTCCCCTATTCTGTTAAACCTGTTAAACATGAAAGTCATTATTCTCTACTACTGATTCCTGTCTTGTTTGAGTTTTTGTAGTTGTTTATAAACTTGAGGACCAGGGAATTTGTGATCTAATAATGATATAAGTAAGAAAAAAAGTAGAGCCGAAACCAGTTTGGCTCAGTGGTAGAGCGTCAGTCTGCGGACTGAAGGGTCCCAAGTTCGATTCTGGTCAAGGGCATGTACATTGGTTGCGGGTACATCCCTGGTAAGGGGGTGGTGCAGGAGGCAGCTGGTCGATGTTTCTCATCGACATTTCTAGCTCTCTATCTCTCTCCCTGCCTCTCTGTGAAATATCAATAAAATAAAAAAAATTAAAAAAATATTTTAAAAAAGAAAAAAAGTAGAAAGCTGATTTTTCAAATAAGATAAGGTTACATTTAATACTGAATTAGATTTTTAATAATGCCTTTTAACATTGCACTTTTGAAGATTTTAGGATTATTTTGTGCATTCATATTTAATGATCACTTCCCATCTTTTTTTCCCTGTGAACTCTTGGAACACCTGTGGTATAAACATAGTTCATTCCATAGAATTCAGTTATTCTTTCAACAATAAAATAAATTTAATATCTGGATGGAATATTTTTTAATCCTCATCTGAAGGCATGCTTAGAAAGAGGAAGGGACAGAAATATATTGATGTGAGAGAAAAACATCATTTGGCTCTGCACGGGCCCTGACCAAAGATCAAACCCACAACCCAGGCATGTGCCCTGGGAATCGCACCAGCCATCTTTTGGTGCATGAGAGGATGCCCAAGCTGAGAGCTGCTCCAGCCTAGCTGGATAGAATTGTTTCTTCTACTGATAAATGGTTTCTGTAACTAGGGGCCTATAATAATAAATTTACAGTCAGACATAAATATCTACAAACTTACTATTTTACTAGAGGCCGGGTGCACAAAACTCTGCACTGTGGGAGGGGCAGTCCTTTAGCCTGGCTTGTAGCCCTCTCACCGTCTGGGAGCCCTTGGGGGGATATCCCACTGACATAAGTCCACTCCCTGCGGAGTGGGCCTAAGCGCAGTCTGGCCTCCCCCTGCAGGAGGCAACTGGTGGGCTAATTGGGGGCCTGCAGTTGGCAGGCCCTGTCCCTGATCACCCCTCTGCCACCGGTCGCCGCCATCCCCTCCTCTGCCCACTGACACCCTCCTTGGCTGGCCTGCCCCTGCCCACCTGCGGCTCCACCCCCCGCCGACTGGTTTTTCCACTGTTTGGTCAATTTGCATATTAGGCTTTTATTGTATAGAATTATCAGTAGTGGAGCTTATTTGTATTAGAATTTTAAAAAAGCATCTTTATGCTTTCTGGTACCCATATCATATCATATCGTATCATATTCCCTGACTGGGAATTGAACCAGCA